GAAAAATTTTTGAGCAAGACCATGGGAAAATTTTTTTCTAAAGTACCCTGATCCAAAAGTTATTGCGTACCACATAATCAACCATGGAGAAGACGAATCTGCAATCGGTTTCGACCGAACAAGCTTTTGAAATTTTTCGATTCGGTGATATGACTCTTTTGGCATGTACAAGCTCGAGTTGTCTACTACAAAAAAGTGTGATAGTAATGACTGACAGATAGCATATTTAAAATAATTCATATCAACATGAAAAAAAAATAAAATTCATGCGGAGTCGGAGAAAAGTGCTTTTTCGTATTCAGCATACTCGATAATCTCGGAGATTTTTTATTTTTGGCCAGAGGTATTGCCATATGAGTGTTACTAAAACCGAACTCGCTTGTGATCTAATAATCTGTCCCGTTTAGTGTTAAAGATCCTATCACAAATCAATCCTCACTAAAATCGAATTGAACATCTTTGTACCGAATAGATGTATCCAAAATTACACTTGATGAGTGTCCTTGAATTTCATTGTTTTCTTTTTATAACCGTTTTTATGTAATCCTCATCCTACGCCGTTTTTCAATATAAATACTGTTAAATAACTAGCTATCGAAGAAAAAATACAAGATTCTTCTGATTTCTATTTTTCGATGAGTTTTTTTATTGTTATTTTCAACTAACGTGATAATAGATATTCCAATTAATCATATTCCTCGTTTAAATCGTGATAAATCATTGTACGCTTATGTGAAAATTGCATATCTGTTTTATCTTAATATAGGTCTAGATTTCGAGAAGAGAACAGAAAACAAATATGATGAGATATTCCTTTTTTTTCAACAGGTTTCATCTTGCAGTCAACTGTGAAATGAGAAACAAAAGAAGCAACATTTAGAGAACACCTTATTTTTATAAGCAATGAACTAGTGAAAACTTAAATAGCGTGAACAGTTCGAATATACAGCTTAGGTTAAGTGTAATAGTGTTTAGCTTTTCCTTTTAACTAAAATTCTTTCATGTTTAGGAACAATAATACAAATATAAAAATGATAGCCTTACAACACCTTGAATAGTTGCTTATATACTCATTAGAAATATTGAGATTAATTAATTAATTAATTATTCACATTGAACTGTTAGTCTTTTGTTATAACGGATGTGTCATAAAGAATTGTAGCCTCAGTATTTTCAATTTTTCTTTTCTTTCTTAAACTCGATCAAGTTTATTTTATTACCAAACCATTCCCCACTCAATTTTCTGTAGAAAATGTATTTACTGTTTTATTATGAAATTTCAAGGTAAAAATGACACAAGAATTTGTACCAAATATTAAAATGGATAAAAAATAAACGTATTCTTTCAAACGAAGCTTAATTTTTTCGCGTCATTTCACAAGCATAAAAACGCGGTTTGAGTATATTTTTGTATAGGTTTTAGTGTTTTCTTTCTCATCACATACGGCAAAAGTTATTTGAATCAAAATATTCGTTGCAAAGACTTCTGGAAAAATCGGATGAGAACGGCAAATCTTGGACCTTTTTTGCGCGCTATAACAGAAGAACTTTTTTTCAAATCTTAGCGATCCGACAATATAGACTACTCATATGCTTCAGAATAAAAAAAATCCATCTGAAATGATAAAGTTTGAATAAACTACATTTCTTTTATCCGGAAGACACAGCTTACTGGTAAAATATCCTCATTTTCAAGAAATTTGGATAAAAACAAAATTGTTACACCTTCAATGCGAACTATAAGAATGCCTAATTGCAGATAAAAGAGAGAGCAACATACTGAGACACACACCCGTTAATATATTGCTATTAAATCATGTTTCGCTCAAATTTTAGCGGGAATTGGCTCCGCTTTCCCAGAATATATGACTAGTTGATAATCCTGTAGCTGCTTCTCTGGATTGTTTCTATCATGCGTCGGTTGATATAAACCAAATTTTTTCAAGAGTTCAGCATCTGAACGTGGACAAGTATGTCCTGTCCATTCAAGTTGTCTTTTAATAATTGTCTTTATACAGCTTGTCCACATCTAGGCTGTTGTACAGCATATTATTTACAGTATTTTCCTTCGATATTGATACGATAGTTTTTCGTTTTTCTTTTTGTGCAACTTTCACAAGTACTAGATCTGTTAATCAGAGCAGTTGCGACCAGTCCAACTTTGGGTGGAGGTCGCTGGTATGGAAAACAATTTGGGGCAGAACGCCAGAAAAAAGTCTTTGCTGCTGAGAGAAAACGTAAATTTTCAGTTATTGAATGGGAATCTCCCGCAAGACCCACCGCTGGTCGCGGAAGCCCTGCTGTTAATAATGCGTTTAATATTTGAAATATGTCAGATTGTGCATCGTAAGTAGTTCGTTACAATTTTCAAATCGACCGTACTTTAATTTTCTTAAGGACACTCGGTTATTGTGACGAAAAACGTAAATGTTGGCCATTAGATAAGAAGAATTCCTTGCAAAAATTAACGAAAAAACTGACGAAACAGTTTACTAATAAGTTGATAAAACAATAACACTCTTAAAATGAAACTATATCCATAAGTGAGCATTGAAAAAGATTCATCACTGAGATTTTGAAATGTATCGATAGTATTACAATACGGTTTTCTCTTTGGTTTTAGGTAATGGGTGGGGCAGAAGAAACGGACCGCTCAGTATTTTGTGTTGCTCTCCTATTTCTTAAGTCCGATTGTGTTGGCCTTCTTTTCGTTAGATTCCCCGTTCAATTCTCTACACAAAATGTCTTGAGTATCTTATTGCTAAACATGAAGGTGAAAAATGACAAGAGAAATTGTGGGAAGTACCAAATGGAGAAAAAAATGAACGTGTGGTTAATTGAATTTTTCGAATGGTTTCACAAGCATGAGAATGCGGTTGGAATATGTTTTTGTGTAATTTCAAGAGGGCTCATTCTCATTGCATATAGCAAAAGTTGTTTGAATCAAAATATTTGACTAAAAGGTTGACTTTCTTGGGGATTTTGAGTGAAAACAGTGAAAAATTGAACCTTTTCTGCGTGGTTGCAAAGAACTTTTTGTCAACTCGTAATTATCTGATAATATAGACTAATCATTTGCTTTCAAAATAAAAATTCAACCTGAAAAGATGAAGTTTTAACTGAACTGTACTTGTTTTATTGAAAATCACAATTTACCAATAAAATATCCTCATTCTTTTAGGAAATTTACAAAAAATAATAAAATTCTTACGCCCTCACTTCTAACTGAAAACATTTAATTATCATATAGGTGAAAGATAGAGCTTTTCAAGACCTACACGACAGCTACTTCAGGTATTTTTCTCCCACAAGCGTTTATCCAATATAAATATCATAATCATATCGATATCATATAAATATCAAATATCATATCGAATATAAAAATCATATAATAAAATCAGAAAAACTGTTTTTTTAACGTATGTTTTGTCCCTTTTGATACCTCCCACACTTTTTCTTGTCATTTTTCACCTTCATGTTTTGCAATAAGATACTCAAGACATTTTGTGTAGAGAATTGAACTGGGAATCTAATGAAAAGAAGGCCAATACAATCGGACTTAAGAAACAGGAGAGCAACACAAAATACTGAGAGATCCGTTTCTTCTGCTCCCCCTCCCTCGCTATTAGGCACGCTTTTGTTTAGCATGTCTGGAAACGATTGTCGGTATGAGAAAAAAACGGGTAAAAAAAGTGTAAAATGAAACACTGTATAAACATATGTCTGCAAACATAACAGTAAAGTCAGTATATTTCTCATTATGAGCTTTCTCAAAAGAAAAGCTTATCTGCAACAAACATATGAGGCCTTACAACATGGACAAAGTGTCTAAAGAGGAAAGACTCGAAATAAGAGAAAATTACGGATTTACTAGAGATAATGAAATTAGTGATGTTAAAAATCATTCATAACCCTGGAAAACATTCAACGAATACAGTGATTTTTCGTACGCAGTAAGCATTTAATATTATGAAGAATGTGTTTTCTCATTTAAGGGTATTTTAAACAGGAAAAATATTAGATAATTTTCTATCAAAAACATTTTTATAAAGAAAAAGAAATTCTGAAATAATCAGGAAATGAGAGGGAGAGAGATTTATATAAAAACTGTTCAACTTCTATAACTGATAACTATGAAAGGAAAAAAACATGATAAATTTGTCACATAATTACACCATATCTTTTGGATTAACGTGTTTATCAAATTCTTCTTCTGTTAAAAAGCCTAATTGTAATGTTGCTTCTTTTAATGTTGTTCCTTCTTTGTGTGCTTTTTTCGCTATTTTTGCTGCTTTATCATAGCCTAATTAGAAAAAAAGTGAAAATATAGTATGTTCTAAGAACTTGTTATACTATGTTGTCTTACCTATTACTGGATTTAAAGCTGTCACTAACATTAACGATTCTTTCATATACCTTGTCAGTACGGGTGTATTTGCTTCTATACCAATCACGCAATGATGTGTAAATGATTTACATACATCAGATAGAATACGAATTGACTGTAAAACATTTTTGATTATTAATGGTTTAAATACGTTTAATTCAAAATGACCCATTGAACCTCCAACAGTCACGGCAACATGATTTCCGATTACTTGTGCTGCTACCATCGTTAATGCTTCACATTGTGTAGGATTTACTTTACCGGGCATTATCGAGCTGCCAGGTTCGTTCTCGGGTAAGACTAATTCACCAATACCACAACGAGGTCCCGAACCGAGTAAACGAATGTCATTACCGATTTTCACTGAAATTTATCAAAAAGAGTTTTTCAAGCACATATTATCTGCTAGACAGATGTTCCGACTACTCTACAATTTTTATCGATGCTTACTTAAACTAACTGCTAATGTATTCAATGAACCACTCAATTCTACCTAAAACAGACATGAAAATACAATTACTGATTTGCAATAGCAGCTAAACATATTACCATTGTATCATGAGTAGCTAAAGCTTCAAATTTATTCGGTGCGTCAACGAATGGTAATTTTGTAATATCGTGTAAAGCTTTGGCAACTGATTTTCCAAACCCCTTTGGAGTATTAATTCCTGGAAAAGAGTGAAATTGAAATTGAATACTAAATAGTGAGGAGTGAACTACCCCAATGTCCAATCCAAGTATCTTCTACAAGCATACTTGCTTAAGTGTAACTTTTGTTATTTATCACAAATCTGACATTCGATTTTGCCCTTACGGCATTCGTCTATGAATTTCTAGAGGTTCGATTTCACAAACTAATCACCGACTTCCATGCAAAGGAATTCTAATATTCAATGGGGCTTCCAATAGAAGAGTTCCAATAGTCGTAAGAGAAAAACCGGATGTCAGGTTTGTGATAAATAACAAAAGCTAGACTTAAGCAAGTATACTTGAAGAAGAACATGATTGGGCACAGTGATAGTTCACTCTTGAGTAGACTAATGTTTACTTACCCGTGCCAACGGCTGTGCCCCCAATAGCTAATTCATACAGCCGTGTTTCACACGTTTTCAAACGTTCAATACCCATTTTAACTTGATGTGTATAACCAGAGAACTCTTGTCCTAATGTCATCGGTACAGCATCTTGAAGATGTGTTCGTCCGATTTTGTAAATATGCTGAAATTGTTCTTGTTTCTTCTTTAATTCATCGTGTAAATGTTTTAATGCCGGATATAATTGACGATTGAGTTCTAATGCAGCAGCTACGTGCATAGCTGTTGGGAACGTATCATTTGAACTTTGACTCATGTTCACATGATCATTTGGATGTACCGGCTTTTTCGTACCCAACTGTCCTCCTAATATTTCGATTGATCGATTACTGATTACTTCATTCACATTCATATTTGTTTGAGTACCAGATCCCGTTTGCCACACACTTAATGGAAAATTATCATTTAGTTTTCCTTCAGCAACTTCTTCACCTATTATAATAGAACACAAAATAAAACAATCACGAGAACGCATTTCAGAATGATATATTACATGCTTGAATTATTCCATCAGCTAGTTTTTTATCTAATCCATACTGTTGATTGACAATAGCACTAAAAGTAATAAAATCAAATAATTAAAATATTTTCTTTTTTGTTAGGTAACACATACCATGCTTTTTTTAATAAACCGAACGCTTCAATTAATGGTAGTGGCATACGGTCCGTCGGAACACCGATATTGAAATGAATCATTGAGCGGGCTGTTTGAGCGCCATAATAACGATTCGAGGGAACATTAATTGGTCCAAACGTGTCCGATTCTGTGCGTGTTTCAGGATTATTTACAAGCTCTTCTTTCATAAGATTATGTGCTTCCATAGATTGAATAATCGTAACCTACAATAACAACAAGTAGACACATGTAAGTCACCTCGTTAATTAATCACGCACAAAAGTTCCTACGAATATAGTCAAGAAAAGGGTAAAGATGAAAGCTATCATGTCGACAGAAACGCACGAAGAATGCCTGCTTTCATAATCAATTTTTCAAAGAGTCCAAGAGCAAAGTAAGTTATGCCTCTTACATCAACTATAATGAGATCTACAAATTTAGACATGTATTTACTAAAGGGTCGGGTTTTTACCTTTTTTGAAAGATTTCGTCCGTATAACAAAGAAGATGATACGCGTGATGCATTTATGTACGATGGCCAAATTCGGCAAAAAATTTTTGCCATTGTTCTTCCTTCTTTGATATAAAAATTTTAAAAAAAAATGAAAAGAACAAGAAAAGCAAAATAAGCAGAATAAAATGCACACGAGAGAAATTGAAGAAACAAACTACCACGTTTTCTGTTCAGTTAACATTTTGCACTGAAAAATATTTCAGGAGCTAGATTTCAAGAAACTCTCAAATTTTACATCTTCAATAGGTTAATTCAAAAATTTAATTTGTAGAAAATAATTTATTCATATGCGAAAAGTAAAAAAGATTCGAATAGTAAAGGAACAAAAAACCATGAGGGATATCAGTAAGAAAACAATTTATTTATTTATTTACATATTACATATTTGCAATTGCATAAGTGTTGTTAATTGTTTAATGGTATCTTTGAAACAATGTCTATAATGTCATATACTTCTGTTAATTTGTTTAAGTTGTACACTTTAACTTTTTCCTTAGATAGAAACAACTTTCCAATCTAAAAATACATTTACTCTGCCTCCAATCATTTGGAATATAAACATTGTAAATAAATTTTAGTGACAAATTTTAATTCATATTTGAGCTCTTTATTACATATAACAGCTTGTTCAAATAAATTAATTATTTGTTCTGAATTAACAATAAACAACAATGGCTGTTGGATATAATTATATTCTTATAAATTGGCTGTTTCTTGAAAGCTAAAAAACACAAAAGCTCGCTTTGAATTATAAAAAACGTTTAAATATTTTTATCCAAGTTTTTCGTTGTTGATTTAAACTTAAGGTGTATTCAAATTTATATCATAATTATCGTGATTACAATGACGTATACGATTGCTACATGATCTTGTCGCTATTATATATTCTTAATGAGTTTTAGGATAAAATTGAACATTCATCTGCTCAATAGCATTAATTCACTTTTTTATGCATAAACGATGTTAAATTGACTGTATCAGATGCCCATAAATGAAAACAGAAACTTTAACATTAATTCGTATACGACGCCTAAAATAAATAGAATAGAGATCTTTTGAGAGTGGTAAGCAAAGATGGACAAATTTTATTACAAAAACCTAGAATTTTGCAAATTTAGAATGTTCCGCTCTAATCTTCTTCCCGGTTTCAGGTTGCTCAGTGCTGTTAACCATCAATGTTTTTAATGGTACGAAATGTTCAACTTACTTCAAGTGGATCAATCCAGTGAACATTTATCGCATAAAATTAATACCCACCTGAAAACCAGGTGGGTACATTATAGAAAACGTTCTTAGTTAATAATCGTTTCTTTTTCAGTAAATCATTTCATTTTTCACTTGAGTTTTTATATAGATTCGTTGCTACATCTCCGTCATAAAATGATGAATAACCACATACTAAAACAAAGAGCAAAGCATGAATATAAGCAACAACTGACATAGTTTCTTGACGAAAAATCGATGTTCTTGATCATGAGATAACCAACTATGATTTATAATATAACTAAGCAGTTCACTATTACAAAATATTAAATTAAAAAGATAATATCACACGTTAATTACATAACATACTTCGCTAAGATTCATAAGTTTCTAGCATAAAACTCTTATTCGTGTGCTGTCTCCTAGTAGGATCAATGTAAGAGAGCAATGGCAATCAGATAGAAGACAAAAATGTTCATGAATTGTCTAAAACATGTGCTATGTACACCAGAAACGTGATTTGCTGCCTATCTCATACAAAATAATAATAATGCTGTTTCAATAACTTTATATAATTAACAAAATGTGCTAATAATAAGCTCATAGTCTTGGTTTTCAAAAGCAAAAAATAACTCTTCATTATTGCTCATGAACATTTTACTAGTCATTTATTCCAGTCTGTATACTCTGCTTTCTGAATCCTTAGTGTGTTTGTCAAGTTAAAATATATTAAAATGATATCTAATTACACGATTACAGAAAATAGCCCGTATGCATGCATACGAGACGGTGTGAACAGCATACCAGAACAGACACTCATGTAAACATGTAAACATATATGAAATTATTTGTACGAAATCGACAATAAACACCATTTTATTTAAAATAATGCAAGAACTATGAGAAGTAGTCGATAAAAATTAAGAATATACATAGATTCAGCACTATCTCGAACTAAACTAGCTTAAAAAAGTCTCTTACTCATAAATGGAGATGGATAACAATATGCTAGAGAAACAAAGTTAAATTATGATATATTATAAGACACAGTTGCTACGTTATTCAAAAGAGTAATTTTTATTTTTTTTCAACACAACAATCAAAAATTCTGTTAAAATGATGATGTTGTTGCATCAAATGGAATTATTATTTACATGAGTTTATAACTTTTATTGTTCTTTTCCGATCTTCCTCGTAGATAAACCCAATAGTTCTTATAATATTTTTTTCAAATTTACTATTATGAGAAAGACATATAATTGAAGAAGTTTTATCATATATATTATTAATTGATATTGGAAGTTAAATGTTTCGCTTACAACAGAAACTTTCTTCAAAACATGTGCGTCGGTAGTAATAAAACTCAGAAAGCATTGTGAAAAATATAACAGAAAACTCTACTTTATTTTTTAAAGCTCTTTTTTGAACAATTCGACATTTTCACATAGAAACTCGCTATTACTCACACTGCTAATTTTTAGAGTCCGATACAAAGTAAACTGATGTTGGATTTTGATAATTTGTTAACATTTTGCTGATGTTAGGATAAGAAACGTTAGAATCATTCTGATTAGCTGGCACAAGATCAAACTTTCTGATCTGGTGCTCTGATTTCGCTAACACAATACAAGACAAAATTATAAAAACTACAAAGAACGTGAAAAAATAGATTTCAATTCAGTTTTTGAGCCCTCTTTTTATTCTGAAAGCGCATTAGATCCCTTGAAAAGATTTTATCGACCGGAGAAAATGTAATTTTCCAGATCAGTAACATTTTCAGACAAGAACATTTTTTTCCACATGCTTAGAGAGACGTAATGCATTTTTTTATTTGACAGGAAGTTTAAATGTCAAGTGACTTGAAGTCTCTTTCTGAAGTCCAGGTCAAATAACTCACAGAGAAGTCAATTGTTTGATAAAAAATATAGAGTAAAGGTAGTTTTTCTAAATGTCTGACTATTGACTATTTATTTATTCACGAAATGTGAGAATCATCAAAGGTCCACGACCTATAATAACAATGACTTAAGCCAAGCAACAGAGTAACGATAGAAAAGAAACGAAATAAAAAAACAGACAAGAAAAGCATGAAATAGAAATAAATAAAATAATTAAAAAATCGAAAAAAAGAAACTAGCACAGCTTTTTGTCTAACAACAAAGCTATGCTAATATAACGACGTCCCTCTTTTCGTAGTTTTATCAACGTTCTGTACGGACCTTAAAAATATTCAGGTCAGACTCTACAAACACAGTTTTTTGACCGTGCAGTAAATCATCTCTTTTCTAGCAAATGGCACTCATTGGTAACGGTTTAATAAGTAGAAGCTAAGACACCATCGGTACCTTCACATAGAATTGAAATTGATGAACGGACAAACTCGCTTATTCTACCTCGATCTAACCTCTTTACACAACTCAAATTCGTTTCAAGCTAATGGGATGATATCTTTCCTTTCAAAAAATTCTTCTTCAAGTTTCGCGTCTGGTTTTTGTTGAAGACGTTTCCTGGTAATAAAACAGTTTCCAAAAATGGGCGCCGTCGAAAAACGGAAAAAAGATTCGATTTAAGATACGCTAAGACTGAAAGCTAGGCCTAAGTTCCTAGTATCATTATGAGTTTACGTTGATTGTGGCAACTTCGGTCTAGCTTTCAATCCTAGCCGTGGTTTTCTTTTATCCAAATGGTAACTCCAAGGAGCCAGGGTCAATGTGAACTGACGTAGATAGTCTCTCCTTGGAGATACTACTTAAATAAAAGGAAACAACGAATCCTAGCGTTTCTCAACCAAAAAACTTGTATTTTCATTGACTAAAAGGAACAGCGTATTAGCTAAGGTGAGAGATGGCGCCTGGCTACAAGTCGTATGTTTTTTACCGTTCTGTCTGAAGTCGGAACAGCATTAAAAATTGAACAAGGTGAGATATTTTTTATTCTTAGCAAAGTAGTTTTGAGGACGACTAAAATCTGTTCCAGAATACAGTTTCATGACGTTTCACGTTTTTATAGAAAAATCGATGATGAAAGTGCCCAAATTAACAGAAGATCGACCAAAATATGCAGTTCTTCATATTCGATTCGATAAAATTAAAACTGCAGCTTAGTCTGTCTTCGATAAGACAAAATTCAAATTGTAAAATTTTTGTGACTTTTGCTAGGATTGAAGATATCTCGAAACTTTTAGTTTCCGCCGCAAACAAACTCTGCATTTCAATAGAGCGGACGGTTTGACGTGCTTCAGGTAATTTTCAGGATACATTTTCGCAGACCGATTTTATCGGAAAAGGAAAATCGAATCAAAAGCATTTTTTGACGTTTTCGAAAGTAGTCGGCAGCCATTTTGAATCCTCTACATTTTTCTCGTTCTGCTTTTCAACCAATGCTAACTGAAATTCAGCGATTGATAGGGAATTTCTGTCAACGAGGCTGTCACTAACAAATCTTTTCTATTTCTGTTTCAAGTAATATGTAATTTTCTGTTCTTTTGATCGCTTTCATTTTGTTCACGGTAAATTGTTTTTGAATGTTGCGTCTCTCTGTTGTCTTCTCTGTTCTCTGTTTTGATGTTTTCGTTTTGCATAATCTTAGACAGAATGAGCATGCCAGCGATACAGCTCTGGACTGTTGACGCAAACTAGTGGTTTGAATTAGTTCCACTAGTTGTTTCCCTTTTCGTGAATAAATCATTCATTCATTCGAATTCACCTCCCTTGTACTCTACCTAAACTCGACTGTTCTCGAGTCTCATATGGCAGCTTGTTTTCTATAGTTCTTTTTGACTCTATAATATAAATAAACTTATTGCTCATGTTATTTCTCGCAATTTTGATTATCGTTCTTCTAGTGTTTTCTTCACTTATTCTCACCTATCTACTCCAAATCTGTCTCTTCCAGGGGCGTACCTAACATCTCACAGCAGGGAAGTGGTTCTGTCAAAAAAACTTTTCGTTCTTCCTAAAAAGATGGTTTTCTGAAGAGCGAAAAACACAAAACAGAAACTTTTCTGAAAGCAGGAGGGTGGTAGTCCCGTACACTTGTAAATATTTTCGACTCATACAATTTATAAAATGGAAGAGATCTATTAGCAAGATCAGAGCAATCGTGACAACGGCAGACGGCGTTACGTCGTCAGCAAAAACTGTTAATAGAGGAGTGCCTCAAGGTTCTGTCCTAGGGCCTCTATTATTTTTGATTTTTATTGATGATCTTGGCGAAAAAATTAGTTCTACAATGCGGCTTTTTGCTGCTGATGCATCCCTCTACCGTGTAACAAAGAAAAATGGTATCAGAAAAGTAATAGATCAAGTAAATCAAGACTTGCTCTTGATTTATGAATGGTCTATAACTTGAAAATTACACTTGAATATTGATAAATGTAAAGCTATCGTTTTTTCTACTCGTGTACGAGAGACTCTCGCTTCATTACCACCTGTTTTGATCAATAATTCAGTTATTCCTTATGTCACGGAACAGAAACAGCTAGGCTTGGTTCTGAAGTCTAACCTTGACTGGACAGCACCCGTTGATTATGTGTTAAGTAAAGTGAATCGTTTAACTGGTCTTTTAAAGCTCCATACACGTGCGCTGTCCAGAGAGTCATTAGACTTAGTCTATAGGTCATTTGTTTTAAATTTGTTTACTTATGCGTCAGCCATATATGGAAATACGACAGACAAAAATCTTGACAGACTAGAATCAGCTCAGTATAAGGCAGCTCGTGCTGTGTCAAGTGCAATGATGTACACTTCTAAGGAGAGAGTTCTTAGAGATTTAAACTGGGAACCCGTGCGAGAAGTTTTTAAGCGACACAGGCTAGTTCTATTTCAAAAAATAATAACTGGAAAAACACCTTCTTTTATGAAGACACTGTTGCCTTCACGCCCAGATCCACCTACCGCTTTTTCTTATTCACTTCGAAGTCGTGAAAAAATGCTTCTTCCTTCTCCACGCTGTCGCTTGAATATGTTATATGACTCGATGATTTATCGTACTGCTAGGGATTATAATGAGCTACCACTGGAGATACGGATGACGTTTCGTATAAAAAAATTTATAACTCGCATATTACCACCATCGAAAATACCGAAGATACCTATTATTTATAACAGGGATGCAGATATTAGCTTTTGCAGATGCAGAGTCGGTTTCTCACAGCAGCGGAAAGACTTGTATCTTCTTAATCTTGTCTCTGATCCTTTCTGCTCGTGTGACAACGTGACAGAAGAGAGCCTTTCTCACTATTTCTTGGAGTGTTCTTTGTTCGATACTGCAAGATTAGCTCTACGTTCTGTATTTCAATCGGATTTAACTCATCTTTCTTTTGATTTAAAAACTTTTTTTCTGGAAATTTCTCTAACACATCAAGAAATCAAGATTATTGTCAA